AACATAGCCTTAGAGAGAGAAGATTCAGACTCAGCGTGATGTTTCTGATTGAGATCGGCTTCAACATTTGCCCGGTTCTCGAGGAGCTTCATATGGTAATAGGCTGGGTTGAACATGAAGGGCTTGATCATATACTCCTTTCTCAGGTCGATGTCAGTCTGGTGGACTGCTGGCCATATCTGCTCAAAGTTGGGGTGGGCCAAGAACCACCCAAAGTGGTCCTCCCAGCGCTGGACATATTTTGCATCACCAATTTCACCCATGAACTGGACATAGTTGTCAATGGCCTGGTGCCACTGCCACGCCTCCATCTTCTCTTCATCCGGGAATTGGGAGGTATCTAGAACTCGGATTTTCGAGTCCAGCTTCGTCTTTGACAGTCTGTCACCCTTCTGAAGGAGGAGCCGGTGTACTGGTGATTGTCAAATAAAGTGAATAATTCTTTATGGAACATGCCACTCTGAAGGGACTGGCCCAGCTGAACTGCCACCTCATCCTCCGTTGACTTGAGAACTCACAGCTTCTTGGTAGGTGGGGGCTCCAATGTCTCTTCGTCATCCTTGTCCTGGAATAGGCACCGCTTGAATGCCTGATAGGCCTGATAGACCGACACTCAGCTGGGGGACAGCCGGGATGCATCTAAACTATCCAAAGAAATCCCATGAGGAGTGTAACAGGCACAGCGGTTGCGAAGACAGCGCCCGAACACCTAGGGCCAAAATGCTCAGCGAACAAGGTGCAGACGGACAAGAATGATCAAAAAGGTGTCATTTACTGGCGTTGGCAAGACAAAGCCTACAAACTACAGTGACACAACTGTCTAGACTACATTACGTAAGCATGGAATGGACTTGACCATTACAAGGAGGAGGGGTCCTGGGACGTTCCTCTTTGCTGCCACCGCCGCCATCATTCTCTGGGACCAATATCAGAGACGCTATTGATGAGGTCCTCGAAATAGCCGCGCGCGAAGGGTCCGACTGTTTGGCACCGTCATTAGCTCCCGGCCTTGAGGCAGCAGCTTCCTGTATCTGTATCCTAGTGGCGTTAGCATTCTGACACTCCTGGTTAATCTCACCTTTTTGGGCATTCGACAACAAGGCAACCCAGGCCTTCCAGGCCTCAGGGTTCGACGATTTGTGCTTCGGTTGGGATACCATTTTGTATTAAGGCTGGTGTATTTGATGGTGGTGAAGTAGAGTAATACTACTAGTAGTAAGGTAGTCATTGTCGCGAAAAGAATGAAAAAATGTGTCGACGAGCCAAGCTGGCGAGCGAGGCGTAATGTAGAGAGAAGTCAAAAGCCCCGCTGAGCACGTCTAAGGAAATGGCCCATGTGGGAACGTCGCGTGCTCAGTGCGTGGTCTCTTCGCTCGCCCTTAGCTTGGCTCGACATAAGTCTGAGCCGTTCATTCCTCACGTCATCCTTGTCTCTGGAGGCATGAGACTGGTCTAAAATCAACCAGTAAATTTGGTCGCTAGACGAATCAATTTCGGTCAGTAGAAGGCTGAAAATGTCTGCTTACCATACAAAAGACACTGTATCATTTTGTCCCAGCAAATTGTGAATTTCGACCCCCCCTCAGAACGGCCGAAAATGACCTTTTACAACTGTTCAGTGGTCCATTTTCATCTGTTCATATGAACCACATTCCTTGGTTTTGGCACCCCTAGCGGCTAGTGTACAACACAGTTGAGGCACTAATATATCTACATATATTCTATGTAGAATAGTACAAGCCACTGTAGCATACCTGCCCGAACCCTGAACCATGCATCCCTCACCCAACCCCCCCCCCTTACCCCTGCTTCCTCTGGGCTCCCTATTCATATCCCTACCAATAACACCAACACAAAAGCCTACCTGCTAGATGTTAGGTCAGTATAAGGTCAAACCACAGCCTGAAAGAAGCACTCACCTACTCACATAGCTCAATACTGGAGATGGCGGCAAGGCAGAGGGGACACTGAATACAGCAATCCTGTCGATGTCTGAGATTCAGTAAACATTTTGTACAAAGGGTGCCGTACTCACGTTACCCCAACAAATCAACTGTCAGGCCTACAACACAGACACTGGGAGTTGGCAACGCCTGCCAAATTCAAACTCCGTCGCACGTATCACGCTTCAGCCACACAAGCGAAATGCTGGTTACACCTTGTGGTGCACTTTTTGGGACGAGGAGACATTCTAAAATAGCAAAAAAATCTTTGGATATTCTTTGATGTTATATAGAATCCATCCTTCCAGTTCGAATTTTGATACACTGACTTGTAAGTGCTATAAGACCAAGTTCAGAGAGCTGAGGTGATAGGTTAACCAGGAGAGGGACACAAATCAAGAATTTTAACTGGAAGGATGGAATCATACACATCTAAAAAAATATATTCCGATTTTTACTCTAATTAATGTGTGATACTGAGCGAGAAAGGTGCACCACATGCAACGCACACCAGATAGCCATAGTCGGCATTTGCCGAGATGCATCCATTGACGTGTTTTCGACGTGTTTTGATAGAACACGTTTCTTCTGGAGCAATGGAGATCAAGGCAGGGATGGCTAAGGACAAGAGGCTGGTGCCCATCAAGTCAAAAGTAACCAAGAAGGCAGACAACATTAATGCTCTAATCAAAGCCATCAGGGAAGAAAGGACAGGTATGCCAGGGGAGCTGCTCACTGCAGCGTGAGCAGTGATGACAGCGCAACAGCAAGTGCATGGCAAGGGCCCGCGTCGAGGTCAGAGGCAAGTTGAACATGTCACGAAGTGACACAAGTGGGGCTATCATTCGAACTCTGACCTGTGGGTTCTCACGATTACTGCTGCGGATTCAACGGACGGAAATTCAACCATTTATCGTATGAATGCCCTAGATCAGAACTCCGACTGGTTTCCGTACGGCAAGCTGTTTCGACCTTATTCGACCACTTTTCAGCCGAAAGTACAAAATTGACCCCTTACCGCTCTAATTTAGGCTGGCCTGGTGCACACAGTGTGTAGAGCACCAACACCACTTGCACTGAGATTTTTCCTTCCTACACGCCCAACCCGCGTTGACATTACCGAGATCTCGAACGCAGGTTCTCACGTAAATGTTTGCTTCTGAGGTCCGTGAGACCCACAAGTGAGCTCGTCTAGTCATTTCGGCTACGAGATCAGTCCATGGTCTTCAGGACCTGTGATGCACGTCCATTTCGAAGGTCTTTTACAGATTTCAGGCTGGATCTCGGGTGGATGTTTGCTGGGAGGTTCCCTGGAGATCCATTGGTAAGCTGAGGATAAGCTCACAACTGGAGCTGCGTGCCAATGTGTGTGTTAGCAAAAGTACTGTACCAGATACCAGATGGCATGGCCTTTCTAATCTATATACACAATTAATCGCGTCCTGAGACTTAAGGTAGCTTTCCCGGGCAATGAACCATGGCTGCATTACCTTGCGACCAGCAAGGTATCTCGCGCTGCGGGAATGTGTTCACTGTTTACATGTCTTTTGACTTGTTTGTATCTGTTGACCAGCCACTCAAGGTCGCAAGGTACACCCCGGCTGCAAACCGGCTTTCGAGTAACTAACCTTTGAGGGACTTGTCGAATTGCACCACACGCGAGACCCAATTCGAGCAGAGCCTAAATTTCAGCGACTTCGTCCAAAGTTCAACCTGCGTTCGTCAGCTTGTTCCCTCACTGCGATCCCTTTGTTCTACCATTGGTGTCAGCCCGCCCCTGGCAAATTAGACATAATTTTGCATAATTGGCTCTAGGGCCATATAATGAAGATAACGGGTGGATAAGTTCTGGATAAGTTCATATAACCGACATAATCTCATACAAGAGACTGCAGGGCTTACCAGGTGTCGACAGTGGGGCAGTAGCTACGGCTGCACTCCCATGTTCTCGTGCATCCCGTTATACCGTTATACATTCATGGACCCGGATCGGCACTGTTTGTGACCATCAGTATAGCTCACGTACTAGAAGATGTCAGCTGTGGGGTGCTCACAATGCCAGCCATGGTGGTCATACATCACCTCCGCCAGCCAAGGCTGGAGTTTGCCTGCACCCCAACACTCGCTCATAGCACGCAGAAAGCCTTGGTCAGTGGGATTGAGTGAGTGTGGAAAAGGTAAATGAGACTTACTCGTATCAAATGTCTCGAACCAGATGCATATCCCTTCTCTGATGTATATACATCCTGTCTGTTGTCAGACTGAGCTTTCGGTCAATACGGGCGAACGAGCGACAATGAAGTTGGCGTCGTTGCGCTCGACAACAGGCTGCTCATGTGACCAGCCAACGCAACATGAGCATGTTGAAGAGTTGTACGACGAGCGTGCAGGTATATGGATATGGTGGGAGCCTGATGTGGGCGTTTGAAAGATGTCGTGCTCATCGCCGTGGATGATAGAGCCGGAGACGTGGCTGTGCATGTGTTCTCATCGTGGTGCCGTTACTTTGCAGCGGAAGCCTGGCCTTGCACAGGAACACAACTATTCGATGTCGAAGCTATCCAGATATTGCCGATTGTCCTAGCGTAGCCAGGAAATGCACCGTGCATAGGGGAGAGAGCACAGACGAGAGGGCGCCCAGCACACAATAGCCTGAGATCCAGCTTGCGGAGACAGGCTTTGAACTTCCGTTACTTCAGGTTTGAATGCGCCGACGCGGTCACGTGAGTTTGTTGATACCGTGTTTTCAAGCTCCGACCGAATCTACTTCAACAGTCCTCGCGAGTCGCGACTTCCCTCTTTCGTTCTTCCCTCTCTCTCACCGTCTCCATGCAGTTCTTCTTGTGTGCCCAAACAGCTGTGCTCTTCTCGGGGGTCTTGCCTTTCAGCGCCGCACGACTATGGCGCTGCCTTCGTAACCTGAGCCACGGTAAGTCACTTGTAACTGTTTGCTGGCGCTGGCTTTCGCCAACATTGATTTATATGGCACACTTTCAGTGTGCATATAATTGTCATTTCCTGTAGAATCCAAGACCGAGGCCCGCCGCCACCCATCTCATGTCGCTCGTCAACTTCAAGTCGAATGCATCAGCGGTAAGTATTGGTCGATTTTGAGTACTAGGATATCTGCTGACTCATTTATGTGACTAGGCTGAAGACCTCAGACCTACCGTGATTGCCGTAACAGATGAAGGTGGTCAGATGTGAGTTCGCCGATGTTGTCTCGGCAGTCGTCCTTACTGAGATACCATAGTAGCTTCTCTGCTGGTGGGTTAGTCGGTATCCTTGCTCGCTGGGCCTTGGCAGCTGGGTTGGGTGTGGGCTAGCCTTGGGAGGAAACTTGAAAGTTGTGGTTGAAGGTGTGTATCATGTTGTTACCTTGTGTATATCCAGTACCCTAACCCTTGCTTTCCTGCTACAGACACTGGAGGTATTGTGATCCTTTCGCGTACATGCTGGGATTAGATTTTGGGTGTAGATAGATTATCACAGTTTCGGCTGCTCTATACAGACTGCAACTATGTATATACAATACCCTTGCTGCAATGATATGGATTTTGCTCCCATCTATGCTATACAGTGTCAATAAAGGAGATAAAAATAAGAGAGTGCCTTGTCTAAGGCTATGTTATTAGATATAAATGTTGGATAACCACGCATAATTATGAAGGGGCTAGCGTTTTAGCGATAATCGGGTATAATGAGATAATGTGTATAATTTTTGACAATTATGCTCTTTTATATCTAATTAGTGGGAGAGGGTTTTCCTGATGAAGGCCATTCTGTAAGTACTTTACTGTTCTCTAATTGCTTGTCTCTAATAGCACACCAACCACAATGCAGATACCGTTTACAAGTGAGGACAGGGGGTAGTTTGGATGTGTCGAGGCTGGGAGTTGGTGTGCAACCTGTGCGGCGCGGTATGTTCCCTCTTGCAGGATGGCTTGGCATACATAGGATTAAAGTGAGTCTTGTTTTGTCATATGTATGATAGTTGAAGTATGGTAGTATTAGTCGCTGTACTAGTAGTGTATATGCAAAGAATTATATGTTTGTTTTTTTTCCTTCTTCCGTGCATTGAGAACTGCATTCAGCAATGCATTCAGTAATTTGAGCAAAATTTGCGGTGCAGCAGCTGCAGCAGTAATGCGCCGGAAATTCCGCATGTCCTGCCAACCCTCTAGCTTGATGTCCCGGGGACCTCAGACTGAGCTCAGTTGACATCACCATTTTCTGAGCTCGTATCTATTGTCCGTTTTTATGTTACAGCGACATCCGGGAAATCTTAGGTGACATCACGACGATGTCCCGGCGGTCTCCATCTCTGAGCTTCTCGGAACCTCTTGCCGGAACGGGCGTGTATTTAACGAGAGATATTAGGACCCCTGATAATAGGTATCAAGGCTTTGTGGAAACGCGGACAAATCAAGCCAAATTAGACCTCACCAGGCCTTATTTTTCGCGGACAGAAAGGCCCAAAAATGGGTGCACGTCTGATTTTTTTCGCGGACATATATACCATGCGGTATCGATGCCTTATGCTTGTGCGGACATCTATAGTCTCGTGGTCCAGGGGTTACCGCTTGACCCATGTATGATTGGTTGATTCCTGGATACTAGGTTTGATTCTCCATGTAGGCATGTGTTTTCAACTTTTTCTCTATACGACAGATGTGGCCATTGTGGGTCCCTATCCCATCTCATAGTAGACTATGTCTATCCAGCATTTATTAAGTTACTGTAGTTCACATACTAGAAACATGACTGTTTCTATTAAACGAGTTCCATCTCGAATCGGAGATGGCGGAGTTGGCTCCCGCAGTGGAAGAACTGGCAAAATTCCGCCGCAAACGCAAGGCGGCGAGCAGTGTGGACATGATTTCTGACGGTGAATAGAGTGGTGCTATAGATATACATTACTAGAAGAGCAATATTGATACATTTTAATGCCTTATCCTACAGTGCGGACAAAGGTCTTGTAAGCAGAGCCCTGATCAGAATCGCGGACATTTTCGGCCAAAATCCGCTCAGGCCACATTTTTCGCGGACAAAACGGCACCAAATCCGGAAATTTGGCGCGGACAAAAAGGTCGGATTCTCAGGATTTAAAATAAAGCCTTGATACCTATTATCAGGGGTCCTGAGATATTTTCCCTCTGGTGTCCCAGTCCCTCGCCATCGAGACTAACGTCGACCTGAGTTTCCTCAAAGACTGCGTCAAGGTCTCCGGCGCAGTGGTTACTTCAGCCTCTTCTGTCTCATGTATCCCATCCGCGTCTCCCGACGACACGGTCGGCTCCCCTACTTCGCTTCTTTCTTCTCCTACCACGCCTCTCTTCTCGCCTACGGCTCCTACTTTCCCCAAAGACCACCGTCATGGCCGATAACGAGCATCTTCGGCAGCTCCTCGCGTCTTATCCAGCTGCTATTACGGATTTTTTCGGCTCCGGGACTCTCTGCCTCCACAAGACCGGACCGGCGTGGCCCGTTGCGCCAGCCAATGCTCAGAAGCTCGTCCGTGCCGCCCGCCCATACTACAATCCCGAGAAGGCGCCGATCTGGCTCCCGACCCTAAAGAGCATCGTTGCCTTTCTCGACTCCCTCGACGTGGATGTGCAGTTGACCGCGGTTGACCCGCTTGCATACGCCAATGCCGGTCAGGCGCAATTGTTCTGCGACTTCATCGTCGTCATCAGCGTCAATCCGCAGACGCTTGCCCATGCTGATGCTGTGGCCGCTGCTCCTGGCGTTATTGCTATACTCGAGGTGAGTTTGGGAACTTGCATGTGCAGGGGTTATTCATTTTTTATCCGCACTCTAGAAAGCCGGGTTCTCCGATGTTCAAGTCGCCTTCGTCGAGGCCGTCTATCGCCGCCGCCAGGCGAAGTTCATGGGCTTCGACCCGATCTCCGAGCTGGAGAGCATCGCCAAGCTACGCAAGCCATTCACCCTTTCTCTCGGTAGTCTCTGCATCGCTCCCCACAACACGCCTCACTACGAAGGCAGCGGTGGCGTCTTCATCCGTCTCACCTCTGACCCGTCCGACAAGCGCGTCTTCCTTTTGACATGCGCCCATGTTGCCCACCCTCCCCCCGTGTTCCCAAATAGGGCTTATACGCGCAAGAACAGCAGCCAACCTCGCGAAGACGTCGTTCTCCTCGGCACCGCCATGTATGACGAATCCCTCGGCGACATCATGAAGCTGATCGGGGAGCAGACAAAGTCAATCGGCACCTGGGAGTCGTCCCTTAGCAGGATCCCGGCGCAGGCTCCCGATGAGCCCTCGTCTAGGACGGATCGGCGCAAGGAGCTCACCGACCTCATCGCCAAGGCCAAGAAGACGATCACGGCGGCGAATGAACTCCACAACGCCGTGACGAAGAACTACTCCTTCACCGGCTCCCGCATCCTCGGATTCATCTACCACTGTGCAGAGATTGGAGTCGGCGCCGACGGCTATATGTATGATTGGGCCTTGATTCAGCTCGACCTTGACAAGTTGGAGGCGGGTAATTTCTTGGGAAATAAGCTTTACGTCGGTGCGTCGGTCTTGTTTCTTTCTCTCTGGTCCTTCTCGTTGATGCCCCTTTGTCTACAGGCGGAAACAAGACCGCCATCGACTGGGAAGCGTATATGTTTCCTCAGCCTCACGACACTGCCGACTTCCACGTTCCCGACGACCTCCTTCTCCAGCTCCAGGACTACGTTCGCGAGGACGAGATGCGCAATCCCCAGAACTACGACGTCCACAACGTGAAGACACTCCTGGCGGTCAAGAACGGCCGAACGACCGGTACCACCTTTGGCCGCGTCAACGGCTTCGAGTCTATCACCCGCGAGTACCCCGATCACGACCTCAAGGTCGACGCCGTCGAGGTCATCGTGCTCGGCTACGACACCAAGACGGCCAAAAACGATCGCTTCTCCGATGAGGGAGATTCAGGGGCCATGGTTGTCGACAGGCTCGGTCGTCTCATTGGGCCTGTCACGGGCGGTGGAGGCCCCAGTGATGGGCTTAACCGTGGTCAAACCGGGTTAAACTGATTTGACCGCGGTTTGACTGTTTTAACCTTAACGGCGGTCAAGGTTAATGCGTGAAAGTCACGTGAACGCATTGCGACTTCACGGACACGAAGTAAACGAGAACTAAGATATTATACATGAAGATAGGAACTATGTACTATAATGAAGATAATGAGGATTATACTATGCTGTCTAATAGATCAATAGCAGGAAAACTTATGCATTCATTACCTCCTGGTATTGCAATTCAAGATCTAAGTTGTCTTGTCCTCGGGACCAGAGTTCAGTCAGGGTTTGAAAGGTTTCCGTACCAGAGGAGTAGAGAAAAAGATTCCGCAAGAGCCACACCTCATTTCGAGGGATACTAGCAGGCTCTGCAGCCGGGGCGGCAGTGCGCGGAGGAGTGGCTTCCGGTAGATTGAAATCATTGCCTGACGGCGCCTTGTACAAGCTCGTCGACGAGCTCGGCGAAA